ATAATTATTTAAATTTGAAATTTGCTTGGTAAAAAAATCTAATAAAAAATATATTACTATAAAAAATAAATTCCTAAGGGAAAAAAAGTTTTACATTGTGAATTTTTTATTATACACTTTAACCATAATCCTCGATTTTTATACGATCCTGCACGGTAACTAAATTAAAAGAATAAAAAAGTTTGGTTTTCATTAAATGTTTATAAAGTAATTTGTTTTTCTCTTACATTGCGCAACATTTTCCATTGAGTGCTATAGCTGTAAAAGGTTGAGCTCTTGGTGACTTTATTTTATAAACTGTTCCACTTGAGAAAAATGAGCTATAGCCAAGATGTTTGCAATACAAATTAGTCAGTTCAACATCTTTATTTTCTCTACTAAAAACATGCGAATATTCGCCTTCAGATTTTACATAAAGTATTCCTTCAATGTAAATTCCATTAACGGAAGCGGAATGTAAATACATTTCAAATTTATCATATTTTTTAGAATTTACAAATAAATGTATGATATAGAACATTTTAAGAAAAATTAAAATCATGATATCACTGTATCATTAATTTCTTTTGAAAAGAGTGTCTAAATGACATATATACACTTTTAAGATGAATTTAATCAAATTATTAGTAATTATAATTATTAAAAAAATATAGTTGATATTCTACAATTCCCTTTTAAGAAAATTATATCAAATGTAAATATATGTCTTTGATAAAAAAAATTCATATTTTCTTTCTTCTATACATACCTTAATCTTTAAATGATCATATAAGATTTGGTACTACTTTATGTTAGGATGAGGTTATTGAACGTCTCCTTTAGTCGACTGCTGGAAGGTTATCCACAATGCTGTCTTTGTAATTTTTTCTCTGCGTAGGCTGCATAATCATAGATATAGCATATTTAATCATTAGCCAAATGAATATTTTGTTTATTTTTCTCAAACAAATTTATTTTAACATTATACACTTTTAAACAAAGAATTTGATTTTGAAATTTAAAACTTTGAAAATGTAAAATATTATAGGTAAAAGATTAGGGTTTAATATGTTTGAACCAAATACTGACATCTAAGCTCTGATGGCTGTTGACATCTGATATATATGCTCCATAGATTTACCTACATTTCATATTCTCTTTTTCTTTTTATTTCATTTTTAATTCTTTTCATTTTTTAGATAAATGTATGTTTATATTTTTGGCTATATACATTACATCAGTATAACATAGATTTCATTATCACAAGTTTAATAAACATAACAATGCGTACAGTTTCACCACTATTCGGCACATACAGAAAATAGACAAAAAATTCAAGAATTTAACATTGTTCCAAAAAACATGTCGCGTGCATTTCCTTTTATACATTCAACAAAGCTTGGGTTCAAGTGGTCAAAGGATTACAAAGTTGTAATCTGATGGTCTCATAATTCTCATGTAACAAAATATGAAAGACTTTTTATATCACACATATAAAATATAATTCTAAGATTAGGGCAACATGCCAAACATGTGCCACAGTAAACAGGCCTGCCTCATCAGCATCTCGTGTTTGATATGCATCTTTTCCATGTTCTTTGTTCCTTTGTTAATTCTGTTGTGGTCAGAGAGTCTATTTTGTAAGAAATAGAGTTCTTTCTAAAGCACTGAAAGCTAACTCTACGAAATAAAAGTCTTTCTAAAGTTCCACCACTATAATTCCTACAAAAAAGAAGTATTTCTACAGTTGCACCAGTCTAATTCCTATAAAATAGAAGTCTTTCTAATGTACCCTTATATCTAAAGTCTAAGTATTGATATATCATTATATCTAAGTGCATACTGAAAAATTAAAAAAATAATCTTTTTTCATAATGAAAAAGATTTTTAATATTTGGCCTAAAAAATTTGAGGTGTTCCAATATTCCTGTCGTTTACTTTATATGTATTATTTTCCATTAGATATTGCAGATATAAAGTTGGTTATGGAATGAAAGATCTGTGTCATCAATTTTCTGAAATCTTTCCAGTCATCTCATTTTTCTTTATATTTCTTCACATATCCAAGAGCCTTTTCAATAATTCAAGTTATTTAATATCCAATATGTATGTTTTACATGAATATAACTAACTTGTATTTTCCTATAAACTGCTTGTGTGAAATGAAACATACAGGTTGAAATTCAGAAATGGGGTATATTTTTCATAATGCTTTTCTTTTGGGTGCTCATCATTTATCAGATTGTTGATATGCTGAAAAACAACTATATTTCATCATAATTTTTGTTCAGAAGATAAGAAATATTCATCTGAAATGCTTGCATGTATGCTTTAGTTAAGAAAATTAAAGCAAGAGGAACTTGTTTCATATCACCACTTTTTTAACAAAAGAATGAACAGTGACAAGCTGATGAAGATGATTCTTTGACAATTTTAAAAGTACCATCATTATACTAGTAGTTGGATTTTGATAATAAGTTTAAGTAGTGGTTTGTTGCAAAGATTAAAATTCTTTCTCCAATTTCACAAATATCTTTCAGAAGAAATTCATCAGGTAAAAATCGGTGTTGTTTGTTTCTCTTTCATTAACACCATCAAAAAGTAGTATAATCTTTGTATTATCATTTTTTGTATTCCCTATTAAAATAATATTTAAATAGGTCTTCAGATATCCAAGATGTTCTATCTTTAATGTTTTGGCAGAATAATTCTTGTCCTAAATCCTGATTATCAGTACCTATCTCATTCAATCCAGCACTATCATTATTAAATTCTTGAGATATAAGATGTATTGGAATTGTAAAATCTTTAATGTTTACTCTTGTTCTATTTCCCCAAAATGGATATTGAAGAATTGATTTAAATTTTTCTCTAGTTTGTCTTTTTATTTCATTTTTAAATTCATGCCAAGTATTTTTAATATTTGTTGAAACATGTTCAATTTCACCATTTTCTCTATATAATGTTAATATTTCTAGAAACCTTTCAGTTGATAATTTTGAAATGCAGTCATCAAATATTCCTTGTGGTGATATAATAGAAATATCTCCATCAATTTCTTCTTTTTGGTAAAGTAGAGATACAAATAGTTCACTATTCTCTATAAAATCAATGATAGTTTGTTGGTGGTTGATTATCTCGTAATTTGAAACCCTCTCAACCATTTTATTGGAGTTTTAATCTAAAATTTAGGTTTTTAATCAACTACTATACATTGTATTATATTGCATAACTAATAATGTCTAATCATTGCTTATTAAGCCCTACCTGAAATCTTTTATAAAATAGAGGTATCTTCAAAACTCTGTCAGTAACCAATATACAAGTGACCCTTTTGACTAAAAGCACTAACACAAACAAACACACAGTAACCATAGAATTTTTGGTTAAAGAAAGGATTATGGAAGTGATTGTTGGAAGATTATTTCTTTCAGGACAGCAAACTAATTGAAAAGCCTTCCAAGAATATATACAGTATAGGCAAAAAAGTTCCAAGCCACCTTGTAAAATTTTTAGTTTAGATATTAAAATTATCAACTTAAAGATTATACTTAATTAAACTGGTGTTTGATATTTTAAGCTAAAATACTTGAGAAATACTCTAATTATAAATAAATCTGCAAATTATAGAATGACCTTGACATTTATTTAATGGAAATATTAACACAACTATAAAAAAGATAATAACAGATACTGACATCCCAAATAATTAAGAAGATTTTTTAAGCCATATGTAATGTTAATCTTCAATTCCTTGACCTTTTCCTAATTCCAATGACACCAATTTTCAAATATCAATTTAAAGGTTAAAAACAGCATGAAAAGAGTAAGTTCAAATATCAAAAAGCATTTATTATCGCTCAGACAAAAGTTAGTGTATTATAATTATTATATGAAATTGAATGTCATAGCAAAATTGTCAAGATAACCTTAAGTTTGTTCTCTCTCTCTCTCTCTCTCCTCTCCTCTCTATTTCTTTTCTACAAGTCTGAAGAGTATAAATTACATATCAACTTGTCTGAAAAATTCCCTTTCCTCATAGATATCATATCTAAAATAATGAATTTCCTTTCAATATTAATTCCCTTACAAATGAAAGTGATCTTCTTGAAACTTTGAATATTCAAATCTTGTAAACAGAATGTTTGAAATTGATGAAATTGTTTATTTTCTGAAGAATATTGCCAATTATTAATAATATCTTCATTTAAAGACAATTGCTTATCAACAATGATAATTGGATTGATAAGATTTATCTTTAATTGGTCGTCAATCTCTAATTTCAATTCAAAAAATGAAAATTTTGATTGTAATGGAATGCAAGCATAGATAAATTCATCGAAGAAATTATAGACAGCACAAAATTGATGATGAGTTGTATTAAGAATAGTAATCTTTCTACCATCTGAAATATGAAATTTTAATAGAAAAATCAATTGGCAAAAAGACAAAAATTGGCAAAAACCTTGATGATTTATTTTGACATCATTTATTAAACCATCATAAATATTACGTATTAAAATTTCATTCACATCAAAGAAATGGTCACCATAAATTGAAAAATATGACAGTAGCATTGCAGTTGGTTTTCCATAACCAAATTTTATTTGACCATATGAGAATTCTAACCAATAATAGTTCCATTTGTCACAATCAATTATCGATTGTAATCTATTAAACCTTTGTATGAAATTTCCAGCTGTAAGTATATTTATCAGTGATTCTTCATTACCCCAACTTTTAATATCTAAAACTAGATCTAAATATTCTTTGGTACTATTTCTAAAATGAAAAAATAGGCCAGAACAATCCCTGTTATGATTCCTAATTTGACCTTTGACCTGGAAGCTAAACATAGTGAAATTCTTCCATAAATTCTTTGGTAAATAATAATAAACATAATCAGAAAGCTGGATACTATAAATTTTCTGATTATCTTCTAATCATGGAAAGCAAGATGAACAGATTTGGAGAAGAGAATGAGAGAATATAAAATAATGTTTATAGTTAAAAAAATATTTTTAACCTTTTGCAAAAACATCTATAGTTTTCAGAGCATTTTGTTGAGTAGTATATCCATCTATAATTGTCAATTGAATCCAATATTCAATATCAGAATTTCCAGTATAGTTCCAACATTGTCTATCAGAAGAATGTGAAAGTTGAATTGTTTGAGTATAATTTGAACTCCAAGTTACTGTTAATGATTTTATATCATATGCTGAATCAGCACTAAAAAAACAAATTGAAAAGTCTTATTATCATAAAATTAAAATTATTGTAGTGTACCTATTAGCTGTACAAAATATATGTGGCTTGGCAGGAAAGGCAAATGTTACATTTATAAAATGGCCTTGACATCTATCATTTGATTCTTTCTGCGGACATTGTGTAAGCCAATAAGTAGTTTTAAAATTATTAATTGCCTCTACACAATTTATGCCACTTGATGAATTACAAGTTGCTCCTCGATCACTATTAGCTATATTTATATAATATAAATCTTCATTGATTGTCTCGTCTGTAAAACTTAAAAGAATTGATTATATAATTAAAACTTAATGCAATTTTTTTACTGTCATAGGCATATATAAGTATTGATTGAAATCCAGCCAATCTTGTTTCTTCATGACTACCAAGAGTTTGAAATTTTACTTTAGAAACACTTTTTCCAATTTCAGTTAATAGAACACAAGTTTCATACAAATTCAAATGAACATTGATCGTATTTGAACTTCCTAATGTCATATTCATAAATGCAAGCAAATAAACATCTGGATAGGTTCTTTGATAAAGGCATATGTCAATTATATCATATAGTCTCTTGAAAGTGATTTCAATCCATTCATCTATGCAATATAGTCTTAAGCAATTTGATCCCCATTCAGCTGTGCTCTGCCAGACAAGATCAAGTGCATTTTCACAATTATAGAACTCACTCGATGCCTTACAACTAGCTGCATGATCCTTCGCATTAGCAATATTTATAAGTTTTCCATCTGTTTAGAATGTTGAAATAAATTCACCAAAAATAACAAATAACAAACAATATTTCTATTCATACCAGTTGATTTTAATCCATTTATGAATGTAAATACCAAAAATATTAAATATAATAAGAAAACACACCAAATTTTTATCTTTAACATTTCAAAAAGGATTTAGAATTAAACCGATGAATCTACCTGCAAAACCAAGTGTATTTAAAAAATACATGTTATGGAATTCCAGTTTTTAGCAATATTTGAATATTTTATTGTCTGATGAATAATTCTGATTTTATATTTGGAACAAAAGCAGGAGTCATTGCACTTATTTTGTTATACTTTAATCAATAAATGTTAATTAATCATATTTCTCTTTAATCATAATAATCGGAAAAGCCTATTTAGTTATTTATCCATTTTTGAACATATAGGCAATTGATATTCATTCTTAGAAATAGAACAAAAGTTATTGTCTACATATTAAACTATTATAGGATGAAGGGGAAGAGAAATTATGCAAAAACTAAGGTTAGGTTAGGGTTATACAGTATGGTTCATTCCATTATTCATTCCATGTCCAATGCACTGATTCCCAAATGATGTAATGTGTTTCTTCAGCTATTGGCATTTTTAGAGGGAATAGGTTTGCGAATCTTGACCTGTGACCTACAATAACAAGTTTACACTTGTAAGAATCATGTCCTGTCAGAGATGCAATTATTTCCTTCATATTCAAAAGAATACTTGTTATATATACAAAGTATGAAATATAAAAATTGTAACATTGTGATGGACAAATTTGAGGTTCTATATGGTTTAAAGCAGACCAATCACCTACAAATAATTCTTTTTAAGGTTTAAAATATAGACGAATTACTTGAAGAGAAAAAAAAAGAAATGCTACACAGTTATAACCACAACCATATGGTTATTGAACATAATTATAAGCATAGCTTTTAGGATATTGATTTATTAAGCATTTTCTTAAGTTCTAAGCAGTGTGTTTGCTGCCAGAATAGGGTCTCAACAAAGTAAGTATTAGGTTTCTCATTAGCATCAATTAGAAGACTTGTCTTTTCCAAAGCATTTTCCTTAATAGTATCATAACTGAATTTTGGTTGAGTAGGATCCGCATACACCATACCTTTAGAAATTGTAGCTGTCCTAGTCATTAAATTGTATTTCAAAAAGCTATAAACAATCAACTTTGGCACCACTACTTTTAATGGAATTTCACATCCTCAAACTTGTCCACCTGGCCAGCATTTTCAATTTTCAATTGAAAGTTGTAGTTATATAATATGTGTACATCCAGATTTATCAGATTGCACACCAAAGTCAACTATTCAAGATGTGGGTGAAGATAAAATGTGTGAAGAATGTAACCAGAATTTTTCTACTACTTCATGCTATTTAAATAGTGATGAAATTGATAAATGTTCACCAAATAAAAATAAACATCACAACGCTATCCTATTGGATACAATTGCGCAATTCCTGGAAGGTGGTCAGAATGGTCAGGATAGAGTAATTGTAATCCTTCTTTTGAAGAAAAAATCCAGCATTTATGGTATCTTTATCAAGATCGCAAACTTTCAGCTATGGCAAAATAAATTGGACATCTGTTGATATTAATGAACACAATTTATTTGATGAATCAGAAAATAGTTTAAGAATTAATCAATCTGGAATCTAATATTTTTCAACAAGTGCAACAATTGAAAGCCATGATACTACTTCCCTAATGCTTAACAATACAGGAAGGACTATTGGTTTGTTTAAATATGGTAATTCAAGTGTTACAACTGATACTACAACTAGAGCTGGATTATTCATACCAAGTACATTTAATAAGCCTTATATCTTACAGTAATTCATTCTTACTCAAACCTTATTGAAAGTGAGAGTGGAAAAGAAACATCATGGTTAGGTTTTTACTATGAAAGCCAAAACTATTTATTTACTGCACGTGACTATTCACTAACTTCTCCTTTTAGTGAGGTTTATTTACCAAATACTTTTGCAATGAGAGGTTTTTCCATCAGTAATAATAGATTTAGAGTATTTGAAGGTGGATACTATTTTATAAACTTTGGATCAGCATCTGAAAACTCTACACGCTCTGTAATTAGATTTGACTTTTCTCCTGGTGGTATAAACATTCATAGCAGTATTGTAATTTCTAACATTGCTGCAACACCTATTATACAATCCTTAGTTTTATTCAAAGGTTAAATTCTGGTGATTATATTAATCTAAAAACAATTGATGGTATTCAATATTCAGATTCTGATTATCTGATATACTTGTGTTTGTTCAAGTTAAATCAAAATTTACCAATATTTTCAATGGCTTCAAACAATCATGATTATTCTGACAGTCATTCAACAAAAGCTCTAATCAGAAGAGAGTGTGGAAGACTGCAGGAAAGGAGAGAGTTAGCAACTGCAAACAAAATTAAGCAAAATTTATAGCTAAACATCTCAAAGAGAACCATCCAAAGGATTCTAAATCAACAAGGAGCAGACTATCCCAAGAATGTGCCCTTTATCAACAAGAGCTAAAAATACTCAAATAGCTATTTGATAGATCCAACAACAAATTAATTTTAGTAATCTTTATCATGAGCCTAGGTTTGCCCTAGATGGTCTAGACCACTTAGACTTGGCCCTTGGTAAAAAAAGCTCTATTCTAAGCCTGACTGTTGGAGAGTACTGGCTAGTAGAATCCTGTGTTTGTCCACAAGTTTTATAATTATAACCATATTCTATAGTTTTGAGAGACACTGTAAAATACTAGAACAGGTTTCTGTGTAATGACTCAATAATTACATATTGGTGAAAATTACATACTTCAATATTATAAATAGTAGCCATTTTGAATCAAAAGTAGGTCAATACAGAGGAAGATGTTGATCTGTTCACTACAAACACTTTGCTTAAGAATAATTTATGATAATTTGTACTTGATCACTAAATTATGTATTAAGAAATGTTTAATTATACCTCAATCAATTGGAGATTTAATTTATGATTATTCAATGAAGAATCAATGTCGTCCACTAACAAAAAAGGACTTAACATTATTTTCTGGCAAAAGATTTCAATTGGAAACAATTTTTATTGATTTTAATAGAATTAAAAATGTAAAAAACATTAAAATACTGACAAAATGCAATAATATAAAATCATTATCTATCTATTGGTCATTTATCATTTATTGAGTATTAAAAAAGTTTTACCAATTTTTTATTATGATTTACAACATCTGATAATAAATATTCCTCAAATGGATGAAAAAGATTATATTAAATTTTCAACAGCATTAGGTGAATTGAAAAATTTAAAAACTTTTACATTAAATTTGGCCTATTCAATAAATTATTCTGGAAATCTTTTAATTAATGATTTAAAGTCTTATTGTTCAACACTTGAAAATTTTATGAAAAGGGTAGTTTTTCAAAGGAATGCTACTCATTAGAACATGTTCATGTTAAAAAGTACAATAATAAACTGCTTTTGGCAAAAGTGTTCACAGAATTACAAATGTCTTGTAATACATTGAGAAAACTAGATTTTTATGGATCTTTTCTATCAAATACCAATTGTAAAGCTCTAACAAAACTTTGTAATTGTTGTCATTTTTTACAAGACATTAACATTTCTTTAAATGAAGATTGTAAAGAGGTATTTGAGAATTTTTGCTCTAGCCTAGATACATCATCTTCATCATTATCTTCTATTAAATTTCGATTAATGCTCAGAGAAAATAGGTTTCTAGTGAAAAGTTTATGATATTGCTCAATGGTCTAGCTAACATATACCATACACTTGTAAAAATATCATTAAACACTGCTTCAAACTCAAAAACTCTTGAACATTTTCTTGGTAAATGTACAACATTGAAGGAATTTAATATGTCTGAGAATAAATACTCAAGTTCATTTAATATCATTTGTAATGGATTAGAAATATCATCATTCAAATCATTACAAATATTCAAAGCTTCTGATTGTGAAATAGATGAAGAGAGTTTTTTAAATTTGACAAATTTATTAGCAAAATGTTGCTCAATAATTGAAATTAACTTGAGTAAAAATGTATATATTTCATTAAAGATTAAAGAAATGAATAGGCTGTCAAATCATTCTTGGCCTTGTATAAGATTAGTTGATTTGTCTGAATGTCATATAACTCAAAATCAACTCATTGATTTTAAAGATTTAAGAAGAATTTGTAAGGTATAAAAAAAATGTAATGTCATATTCAACCAATGGAGACATTTTCACACTTCTCAATTAATTGATATATCAGCAAAATTTTTGGCTAGGTATAAACAGGATAGTGAAGAATTTTTAAAAAGGTACAATTACAAGAGATTGATGTATAGCATCTCTTTCTTTCTGACATGCCTATCTTCACAAGAGCGATCTCTTAAAAATTTATCTAATCCTTTAGATGGTTCTTGTTAATGTTTATTCCATTGTGCCATCTCTCAGGCAGAAAGCCATTAGCTTTCTTATGTCTCTCCTATTCTTAATGAATATTCAACTGCAATAAAAGAAACTGCAATGGTAATTTTTTATACTCAAAGCATAAATTTTGTATGGTAGAAATCATTGTTGGAGTAATGAAGATGAATTTCATTGCAGTTTAAATTTCTTTTTGCAGTGTATTTAAATAATTATAATTTAATCAGATTTCTATACTGATTCATTGGAATATGTGATTTTATTGGTAATATTACATCCACTTTTCATAGGCCTTCTCATACTTTTTTTCTAGTGCTATCAATTTCCGATTTGGTTTTCTCTGCTAGATGACAGTAGTGAATATTCAATACTAAGCATATTTCCTTCATATCACCTAAACATAGATAATAAAAATATGTTATCAAATGAATTTATTATTTTATTACAAAAGCTTCAGAAAAAAACAAAATGGCTGCCAGTAGATATTTTATCCAAGAACAAAGTCTTCAATGTTCCTTGTGTTCGGAATCTTGGGTAGATAAAGATCATAGAGTACTTCCTTGTCAACACACATTCTGCCTGCAGTGTTTGCTGGAACAAAACTTTGCGAAAAACACATTTATTGCTAAAACAGGAATAAAATGTCCCGATTGCGAAGAATTTCATGAATTAAACAAGGAGATGGTAAGGACATCATTACCTAAAAACTATTTCGCCAATTCTTTAAATAGAGCACTACTGGATGAAAAACTTTGCGAAAAACATGAACAACTCTCTACTTTGTTTTGTATAAGTCACAATATTGAAAATCTATGCAGTATTTGCTTTGACAATGATCATTCGCAATGTCAAGTTTCAACGATGAATAGACAATTGAAAAATAAGGAATTGATAAAGTCTCATTTGAATATTGAAGAGAATAATCAAAAAGAACTTTTAAGTGAAATTGAACAAATTGAAAAAGATTATTTGTTAAAAATTCAAAATGATTTCAAAATGATTAGGCAAGTTTCTAAAAAATTAAGAAAGCAGAGAGAGGATTCTTTAATGAATCTTTCAAAAGATATCACCAAACAGAAGAATTTATTGGAATATTTAGAAAATTTTTCAAAAAACAAACTACAATTAACAATACTTAAAAATCCAAAAGTTGAATATCAACTAAAGGAAATAGATTACCAAAACTATATTAACAATGAATTTTCATTGACTTTGAACATATTAAATAATAACACTACAGATACAGATAAAGGTCATATTACTAAAATTCTACAAATAAATAATAATTTGAAGAAAGTCAATTTATCAAACAGTAGATGTGGTCAAGATTATTGGTCAACTATTTGTCGACTACTTGAAAAATCATCTTACAGGCTGAAAGAAGTTAATTTTTCAGATTGTGATTTAACAGAGAAATTTTGTAAACCTATTGAAAAATTATTAGATGAGTGTTGCCAAATTGAATTATTTAACATATCTGATAATGGACTAGGAACTGGAATTCAAAACATCTGCAATGGACTGGAAAAATCATCAAGTACGCTAAAGGAATTGAATTTTTCAGATTGTGATTTAACAGAGAAATTATGTAAACCTATTGAAAAATTATTAAATGAATGTTGCCAAATTGAATTATTTAACATATCTGATAATAGACTAGGAACTGGAATTCAAAACATCTGCAATGGACTGGAAAAATCATCAAGTACGCTAAAGGAATTGAATTTTTCAGATTGTGATTTAACAGAGAAATTATGTAAACCTATTGAAAAATTATTAAATGAATGTTGCCAAATTGAATTATTTAACATATCTGATAATAGACTAGGAACTGGAATTCAAAACATCTGCAATGGACTGGAAAAATCATCAGCTACACTAAAAGAATTGAATTTTTCTAACTGCGATTTAAAAGGGGAAAATTGGGATTTTTTTGAAATTCAAATGAGAAAATTTTGTAATCTTGAAGTAATAAATTTAAAGAATAATAAAAAAATTGGAAATGGATTCTTGAGTATTTGTAGTGGTTTTGCCAACTCAGGGACGACTTTGAAGGAAATTAATCTATCAAACTGTAACATTACTAAATCTTACTGCTCCTCTTTACAGATTCTTTTATCCTTATGTTCAAGTCTTGAAATAATTGACCTTTCATTAAATAGTTGTATGGGAAAAGGTTTGTCAGATATAATTAATTCTCTGAAAAGATCATCTAAAACTCTAAGGGAAATTTCACTTTCAAAGTGTAATATAACTGAAAAAAGGTGTAAAGAGATTAAAGATGTTTTGATGAAATTTGACAAATTAAATATAATTGATTTGTCATTTAATTTTCAAATTGGAAATGGTTTATTTCATATTCGCAGTCAGCTTTCGAATTCTGTAAGAATTATTTGACAGAGATGTCAATATCATTTTAGTTGATTATATAGATTATTATTTGAATGTGCATGAATTGCTATGTTGATGCAATCATCTTGCTTAAGATTAAGAGCAAGGCTTTCTACGAAGAAACACCTCACTTGTTGGAAAAATATCTTCAATGCAGACAATCATTAATTGAGTTCTAGTTCAAGACCATTCAATCACTTTCCGTTTCTACTGATAAGAATAGTGTCAATAAGATAAATCTACAATATGTATTCTTTGAAGAATAGTTAACTTTTCATACACTAGATGGCGATAACTATAATAAATATTGATTTCAGTAAATTTAAATTGACTATAGTTAATTTTCAAATAATTTGGAAATATGCTCAGGGTTTGCTTAAAACTTGTAACAGTTAATTTTCAGAGGAAAAATACTGAATGTAGGCTGATATACCACGAATTATAAGGTCATATCAGTCATTAGCAATATAAATATTTTACTTTGCATTAGAAGAATGACAATACTTTATTCTTTTTACCTATTTAATTAAACTATTAACTAAAGAATAAAAATTTAATAACGAGTCATAAAAAGTCCAACTCGGCACATTTGCAATCTTTGCGAACCATTCCCCAAAATGACATTGAAATGCTTATCTTGCAATCATACATGTATTGGAAATCATTTAATGGATTTTAAGATATTTAATTTATTTCTTTAATTAAAGTAGAAATGAGTGAAGGCTTGTGTGAATCTTGTAATATGATTACAAAGAAACCATGGATTGTAATAATTTTATAGAGGACTCATTTGAAATGAATGAAGAAAAAAAAGCAGATCAAAATGAAAAATTCACACTTCTTAGAGAAAGCCGGAGAGGCAAGGATATTAAAAAATTAATAATTGTTTGTTGAAAAGTTGACTTGAATGTAAGTGTTGCCATCTATCGACAAATACTTGTTGAAAAACAAGAAGAAAGATAAAAGTTTAATTTTGAAAAATTATTGAAAAATACAGTTATAAATAAAAATGCGATAGATTAATTATGAATTTATTATGATGTCATCATTTTTTTTAATCAAAAATTAAAGATACCAAAGCTCAACATTTTAACTTTTTGACATTATAATAGTAAATGTGATATCTGGATAGGATTCCTCACAACATGCATAATGTTTTACATTACGTCTACCAGTATTTTTAATAATTCTATATTTTCCATAGTAGTCTGCAAAGTCAATATTTTTCATATCATTGTAAAAGTTTACATCTATCTCATTTCCGTGATAAGTCCACGAAGCATATTTAAAATTGCAATGATATTCTCCTCTTTTCTTATCCAGTGGACATCTTACCTTTGAAAAATAGATGGAATGTAGATGATAAAAGACATTCTAACCTCTTCTAACATACCGTTATTAGTTTTGGAGGAATGTACAAAATGTTTCCATTATGTTTAACAATTGCAGGAACATTGGCAAGATTAACATCTTTACGTGCCCTAGTAAAACATAAACAAGAATATATGAGAATTTTTATGATTATAGGTGAATGATCTATTACTGATTGTATAGAAAAATATCAGGACTCCAAATCTTATTGATTGGTAAATGTAGAGATGTGACTTTGTAATCTTCAACTGACCAACGTAATCTAAAGTCTTCCCAGGACTATGATTTTTATGAATATTACTTATATTTTGACCGAATTTCTTATTTACAAATTAATACTTTACCATTCTTTGCCAAACATTAAAAGTTAAAAGTTCACCATCAACTTCAGTGACATCAGTTAAACTTAATCCTATAGAAACATTAACATTTTGAAAAGAGAAAATATCATAGTCTCCTAATAAATTATAAATTAATCTGGCATTATCTTCATATTTCCTAGAAAACAAATTTCCAATGCAGAAGAAGATAGAAGAAAAAAGAAGAGAAACTTACACTGTATAGCATACTTGTAGAAGAAGCATAGAGATAAAAATTGATAAGAGTAGCACTCTCATTCTGAAAGTATTGTCTCTTCCAAACTATTAGTAAAAGACAAAAATTCAGTTTATATACTCAAATGTGAAACATGGACAAATTTGATGATTGGATAATTAATTTATTTTTATAAATAATCATTAATTGGTGTTATTGTATAGAACTAACCTAAGTATGTAATCTTATTTTCTATACTAAATCATTGGCAAACTAGTGAAAGAACTATTTATAGAACTATTTATAGCTATTTGATTGACAATTATCAAAAAAACTCAAATTATGTAGACCTGTATAGTAGTAAGTTAATAACTTTAGTAATCATTACTAATAACTCATTTATTGCATTAAGAATAATTATTCTCCTATGCCTATTTTATTGATAAATAAAATTTTGTCCACACATTTCATAAAATTTCTTAGCTAAATACAGATTTGGGCAACTGATCAGATGCTGAATTAAGAGAATTTCAAAATGTTAAACATGTTAAAAGTGCAAGATTTACTTCAATAAGTCAACAGATGCTTTAATACATCCCTTCAATCATGTTATCAGTTGTTAAGAGTGCATTTCTAGTCTTCTAAATAATAATTGAATTTCACAGGTTGGAGAGTTGCATAAGATGTAACAATTTTCTTACAGCAAGTCCAACAATCAAGAAAACATGTCGATTATATATTTGACCCATTTTGTATTCTACTTTAATAAATCTAATTAACTATCCTGTTTAAAAAACTTAGCATCAGTGTATGCAGAGGAAGCATGTCTAAATAATCCATATTAATAGTATTGTGTATACAACACTATTGAATAGTGATTTAAAATCTAAAATTCCAAATAAAACCATAATTAAAGTAATATCTTATTGTTGAGGAGTTCATCTGCTATATTTCTTCTCCTTTTATTTTTCAAGAGATGTTATTGTTTCTATCATGAAGAAAGCAATCATGCTCAGTGTCTTCTTTACACAATCAACCAATGTTTCGAAATTTGATGAAACATTACGTAATATCAATTTGAATGATATAGAAGAATTGGAAATTACATTTAAACATTATATAATTTAAAAATACTTTGTTTAGAAAAATGTATGCTCTATTCTTCCAATAGGGGAAAGTTTTTTGTAGCTTTTTCTTCTTAAAAGAAATTAACTAGTTTTATGGTATCAGTAGTTTCTTGTATTGTGTCAGATACATCTATTGATACTTTTAAAGACTCAATTGTAAGTCATGGATTAGAAATATTCAATAATGATGAAAATAATATAAAAATAAATTCCTTTGATATTCTTCTAGAGGGATATTGTTGAAAACACCATGAGGTGTTTAAAAACTTAAAGGCTGTGTTTTTCACTTCACATAGGCTGCTTTTTGAAAAATTCAAGCAAATAATTTTTTCTTTAAAATGAACAAAGTATTACAAAAAACTACTTTCAACAGTCAATTGGTTTGATGAGTAATACATGCAAAAGAGAGATTTGTGATTGTTAAAATAATGGGTTTTCCTCTCATTCCTAATGAAATAATTGGCGATCACAACAAACAATGATTTTTGAAGCAGTTCATAAAAGATTCAATTCAAAAGTAGAAGCCAACTGCTCGTATCGTTAAAAAGTTTATTTAAACAATTTCTTTAATATGATATTTATTTCCTATGATATGTCTGATAAAGACAAAAATAATGATAAAAAATTCATTACTGTTTCTATATCCATGTTTTACTTTGTCTCTGTAACAAAGTACTGTTAATGCATTTCATTATTGAAACATTGTTCCTAGCACTACTTCTTGAAACTCCATACATTCCATATGTTGAACTTTCACTTATAAAAGCCTCATTACACTCTCCCAAGAGAAAGAATTCTATGTATATATTTAAAATTAATTGGCAAGATGCATTTGGATCCCTGTAGTGAATTGGTGTGCCTTTGACAAAATAAATTGGATATTTAGTAATGCTCTTGATATAATGTTTCAGGATATCACTGTCAAGTGTAATAAATACAATTGATGATGTATCTTCTCCAGGGGATGTTATATTTTCAAGATTTAAGATATCTTGAATGCATTTTTGAATCCATTTATTTGGGTGATCATATTCAGTCCAGCCAGTTCTTATTTGAATACATTTGACCCTTTTGTATTTGTTCAAATTGTTTTTATGCATTTGAAGTTGAGTTAAAAGTAATCCCTTAGGTTTAAACAGTTTCTCAAAATATTCTAAAAAAAGGCTTAGATTTCGTTTTATTCTCTTGAATTTTTTTGTTGAAAATCTAAGTTTATTTAATGTTTTTTTCCTTAAAAAGAAACTATAGGTTCTTACAGCAAAAATTTTCTCCTTATTAGCCATTAGTTTTTGAATAATTGTTACATTAGAATAAAGAATTCTATATGTAGAAAATGTATAATTTCTTAACTCATAATTCTCAACAACTTGAAAAGAGTCAAGATTAAAATATGTATTAATGGAGCAGTCTTGTTTTGGAATATTTGAATATATTAATGTAGTTCTATTTAAGACTTCTGATAGAATTTTACACGCTATTATTGCCCTTATAGTATTAGCAAATCCTTTTTCTGGTATACACAACACATACAATTTCATTTTATCCAAATTAGTAAATAAACTCTGCAATGAGAATAATTATTGAAAATTTCAAATTTTATTTTTAAATACCTTGTTATTCTGTAATTTTTCTTGAGTAACTATATCATTATCATAAAAATATTTTTTCAGTAAATAGGGTTTTTTCTTTATATGCATTAATATTCCAAATACACTTAATATTAAGCAAATACCAAAGCCGTACCATACTCTTGTTATTAACATACTTTATCAAACAACTCAATGATACTGTAAATTTTTACTTTCAAGAGTTCTAATCTACAATAGATAATTAGTATCGAACCAGTATTGAGCTGTACTGATAGGAAATATCAATATATATATAAATATGTCATAGAGTTGGTAATTGTCTAGAATAATCACTGCTGAAGAGAAAATGTCTAAAATCAATCTGGACCATTTATGAGTTTCATTATGCGTTGTCCTAGATGTCTCAATTTAGTTGGAGAAAATAGCTTAAAGAGAGCTTTTCAATGATCTGCCACATGATTATGTAGCTCTTATGGTTCAGACATGGCTGAGCTCATAACTCTGAAAATTTTTGAACTTGGGATTGAAAATTGAAAATATATTTTTTTTATATAAGTTTGACTATATCTGCAATAGATGGCGTTAGTGCAAGGATAGCCACTTGGTGCGTTAATATTTTTTTGATTTTGTTGACAGTGCCAACATTATCCCAGTCTATAGTTGCTAACACTGCAGAATAGTGCATGGACTCCAAACAAAATCCCAAACCAAACCTAACCAAAATCAAATGATAATCTTAACTGAAAAAATTCAACTAGGTTTAAAGAAAAGAATGATATAAATATGGATATTTTATCTGATTTTCTTGCCAGGATGATGTTGCTTTCTCTTCTCATCCAAGTTGTTTATTTTTACATAGGAGCAATAATACAACAGCTCTTAAAGGTTATAAAAATTAATCAACAAAATTGATGTCTGCTAGTTTATAGATATTTTTTTTCTATATCTTTAATTTCTAAACAATCTTTTACAATATTTTTTAGTATTTGATGATTTTTTTTTGTAACATTTATTAATAATCTTCAACTAAAAACTATTGGGAATATAAAGTTTGAACATTGCATTCAGATTTCTTAAAATTTCAATCAATAAAGAAAGAATTTTACTTCCTTAAATTTTTTGATTTCTCGGAAATACTGTTTGAACAGCCAAATACAAAATCAATATTTGATTGTTTAATAATGGCTAACTCTAAAGAATAATTATTGTCTAAGTAGGAGATAAAACATTATTAATTATAGGAATTTGGGGTTAGGTGCAAATGTGCCTGTAGTTGAGCCGAGGATTCAGGGGTAGAAAATTAACATGATACTTCTATTTATTAATAGTTGCTCTTGTTGCTCAAGTAATAAAATTGAACAATACAAGCTTTTTGTGTTAGCTTATATTATTTTTCTCACAGACCTGTCTGTCTCCCCATTTGTGTCTCCTTATCTAGTTTTTGAAAAGGCTCACTTATATAATATCACCATTTAACTTGCCCCTAATCTCACTATTAAACTTTGGTTATTATGATTCACAAAGACTGTCCCAAGGGGAGTAAAAGTTTTAGAACAGAGATATATAGATTGAAAACTGAAAAGGCTATTGGAAAAATTGAATATGGAATTTATTTTTGTACACTATCTATACTTTTTAAGCTGTAAATAGCAATAATAATTATTGTTAATGAAAATTAACCAAGCATTTTATAATTTGTTGTGAATTAACTACACAGTGTCAAAATTAATCTTTTTCATTGTATTTTGCAAAAAGGTTGTTGAAAATTGTTCTAGTATTGATCATTTCCTCAAAATTGTCGTCTAAGCTGCATAAATCAAATAGGAAATCATCATATTATAATTATATCTTTGGTTATTTAAAGAAATGGTGGTCATTGATAAAGTAATTTATTGTTAAGTTGTTGAAAAACACAAAGAAGGGCTATCATTGAACAAAATTGCAAAAACATGTCCTCTCTCTCTCTCTCTGTCCATTATATTTTATAAATCCAGAAACTATGACACTACCACTACTGTGCATATAAGTTCAATAAAGATGCCTTTTAGAAAACTGTAGACTTAACTCAATACTATTTAAACTTTTCCAACTGTCTATTTTGAGTTATGTAGTCTACCAAGCCAATGCAGATCATTTATTCTTTAAATTGTTTGAATTTGTATTTTATATTCTGCACCATGACTGGTCTACAATTAATTTTTTTTTTGCTGCTATGTCTCAAATGGTCATTTTAGGCAGGCTCAATTGCAGTAGGATCATTTTTCCTTGGTGTTTGATAGGTCATCTATCTTACAGAAAAAAACTATTCCTAATCATAAATTTCATTTGTAATTGAAAATATTAGAATTTATACACATTTTTGACCTTAGAACCTATATCCATGATATTCTTAATTAACCATTTTAGTACATAATTTTTCAATATATACAATTCTTGAACAAAGCAAAGGGTCGATATTTCAAAAGTATCATAAAATAATGACTTATAGATAATTTTATGCGAGTTGTAATCAAGATTTCATGAGAACTTGTCAGCTGTTTTGTTTGACAGTAAAAAATCAACATCAATATCAACATCAATATACATGATAGAGAAAGAATAAGTGCATGAATTATTTCTATGCCATTTTATTTAAGAACATTTGCAGTAAAAGATACATCAATTAAAAGTAGTTACTCTGAATAACAATAGTCCAGTGATGGATGATTTCCATAATGGAGGTTCATGTTATCCAAATCCGTATTAATAATCACATAGCCTCTGATGAAAGCTCTGCAGGATGGACACTCAGGTTTTTGAAGACTCAATAGACATTGTGTACAAGCCAGCAGATGGCCACAAGGTAAAATCAGAGAATTAGCTAAAATATTACAACACAATTTACACTCCAAAATAGTCAAAACTTCATAAAAAGTTTGTTTGTTTGACAAAACAACTGATTCATTTGTATTTCTGAAATTAAATTATTTCAAAATTTGAAAAAGTGAAAAAAAAATAAAATTAATTATTAATTAATTTATTAATTTTAGTTAAATACTTGTCTACTTCTTTAACTTTTGCTGCTTTCTCTTTGAAGGTCAATAGTTCATTCATTGAGGCATTTCGGTGGGCTATCAACTCTGCCATGTTTGTAATTTGTTGTATTGCAATTTCACCTCAAAGCAACTAGTTACAAAACTAAGCTAACAACTGTTCTATTATTAATGGTATTTATACTTTCCTCTAAATTAAACAATTTAGAATTTTATAGTTTCAGTTTCAGTTTCAGTTTCATTTTTCACCAAAAATGGATTTAATTTGGAAGATTTTCATCTTTTGGATAGTAATAATTGAGCACAAATATAAAAATTGACTATCTTCAAAGAAAATCCTCAAAAAATTTTCTCTAAATGATAGAACATTTTAATTGGTTATTGAGATAAAAAAAGTTCAGTTTGCTGTCAAATCTATATAACTTGTATAATTCAGCGCCATCTGTCTTCTGTCTAAAGACCTGCTAGAATTCATAGAATGTATATAAGGAGAACCATAGACCCAAACATCCCAAAGAATTATTTTATATCAGACATAAAGAATCTCATGGCAGTATTCCAGTTTTTCCACCTGCAAATATGTTAGGTATAAACTAATGATTAATTTTTCTAAGATAACCTCAGAGTTGTTGTTAAAATGATTTTGAATGATCACAAATCATTCCTATTACTTTTACCCTAAATCAACCCTAATCTCTCCTTAACCTTTTTCATCACCCATAACCCTTAGACTAGACTCTCCTAAGTGCATTTTTTTTGCTATCTTGTTCTTTGTTACCAGTTTTCAATTGAAGTTTTCTGCAAAAAAATTGGTGACATTACTTAAAAATCACCTATTTTTGAAAGTGTTAGAGTTTGAAGGAAATACTTTAATAGAATCTAAAGACTATGAATTTTGTACTTTGTATTGTAATTGTAGGAATTTCTGGTTCGTCACAACTGTAATCGTCCTTTCCAATCATTTACCAACTTGCCAAAGTGCTGGTCCAAATAGAACCTTTAAAGTTCGTCCACAAATAGTCTAACAAAGGCAATTTTGGTAGAAATTGATTAACAAAACACCAGTATTTCGTGCAAAGAATATGTATTGAGTAAAATGAGCTTCTAGTTCTAAACATTTGAAGACAAAGAAAAGTTCTAAATATGGTCATGTTTTTATTGTTTTCCTCTTCTAAATACTAGTTGAACCTTTAAAGTTCGTCCACAAATAGTCTAACAAAGGCAATTTTGGTAGAAATTGATTAACAAAACACCAGTATTTCGTGCAAAGAATATGTATTGAGTAAAATGAGCTTCTAGTTCTAAACATTTGAAGACAAAGAAAAGTTCTAAATATGGTCATGTTTTTATTGTTTTCCTCTTCTAAATACTAGTTGAATTTCTCAGGTTGGAGAGTTGCATAAGATGTAACAATTTTAGTAGGACAAGTCCAACAATCAAGAAAACATGTAGATTGTATATTTGACCGTTTTTATATTCTACCTTAATAATGATATTGAATTGATTGAGTTAGTAAATTTAGCATCAGCATATAAGGAGGAAGGATATCTGAATAATGCATGTTAAGAAGAACAGTATTGTGTATACAATACTGTTGAATAGTGAATATAATCTAAACTTAGAATTGAAGCATAATTGATAATTAATTGAACTAGTTTTAGTTCGAAATCATAAATTTATGGATTAATAAATTGTAATATTAATGCTATGTTGCAAATAGCAAATATTCTTTATATAATTCAATAGGTTTTATTACTGCATAATGTGTATGCACTGCCCTATGCGAAACTAGGTCACTACTGCTTATCTTTATCAATGCTATCTGCATAGTACAATACTGGTTCAATACTACTTCTCTATTGTAGAATATAGCTGACGAATGTATGTGTACAACTAAAAACTCATTTATTGCATTAAGAATAATTATTCTCCTATTCCTATTTTTTATTGATGAATAAAATTTTGTCCACACATTTCATAAAATTTCTTAGCTAAAATACAGATTTTGACAACTGATTAGATGCTGAATTAAGAGAATTTCAAAATGTTAAACATGATAAAAGTGCAAGATTTACTTCAATAAGTCAACAGATGCTTTAATACATCCCTGCAATCATGTTATCAATTGTAAAGAGTGCATTTCTAGTCTTCCAAACCAGAAATATCCATCATTTAGGGTATTTATTCCAGAATATGTGCTTATCAAAACAGATGTACATGAATTGAATTCTATTAGATAAAAAAAATGTTTATCATATTTAGATTTATAAATTGTGAACTATCAACCTTTAAAAGGGTATATAAACCCAACAAAATTAAGGTTTATATATTCTTTAAAGGGTTAATAGTTCACAAATTTCAATGTTCACATAAATAAAAGTAACATTGGAAGACAAAGAAAAGTTGTAAATATAGTCTGTTTATTGTTTTCCTCTTCTAAATAATAATTGAATTTCACAGGTTGGACAGTTCCATAAGATGTAACAATTTTCTTACAGCAAGTCCAACAATCAAGAAAACAAGTGGATTATATATTTGACCATTTTTGTATTCTACTTTGTGTAAAAAACTAGGAAGCATGTCTAAATAATCCATATTAATAGTATTGTGTATACAACACTATTGAATAGTGATTTAAAATCTAAAATTCCAAATAAAACCATAATTAAAGTAATATCTTATTGTTGAGGAGTTCATCTGCTATATTTCTTCTCCTTTTATTTTTCAAGAGATGTTATTGTTTCTATCATGAAGAAAGCAATCATGCTCAGTGTCTTCTTAACAGCTTAATGATGAAAAGATGATAGAAAGATATTTTTTTGTATTTTTCTGGTTGCTGGCTGTGATTTTCCTATTTCTTCTTTGTTAATCTTTTTATAGATGTCAATGTTACCTTTACACCATAAATAGAATGCTGCTGCACCTGCACTTGCCTCCTTGACTTCTTGCAGATTTAATTCACAAATTATTTGTTCAGCTCTGAGAATGATTGCTGGATGTACAGTTAAGATTTTAAGAGCTTTAATTTTCTTTAAAATAGAATAAGAGCATGCATATTTAATAAAAACTCGACATTCTTTCCATTCATCAGTTTGTCCTTCATCAATTGATAAAATCAATAATGTTGATTTTATAACCAGATGTACAACAGCAGGTGGTTGATTATACTGATTTAATTCTGCAATACACTTTGCATCAAGTTTTAAAATCCTGTTTTGCAAACCACAAATTTTTTCTAAATTTGCTTTTAATTCATTAGCTTTTGATAAATCTTTAATTAATAAAGGATTTATTGGTTTAACAGAAGCTTTGTCTATAGCTACTTTTAACTTTTTATAATCTTTTTCTTCATATGCCTTTTTCAAATCTACAATATTTTTAATGATATTTTTAATAATTTCAGTATCTAGATGTGAAATTTTAATTACCTGATGCCTTCTTTGCTACATCTTCCTGATCATTGTGTTGTTGCTGTGATTTCTCTTCCTTTTCATCATTTCTATTACCTGGCTTTCCTGTGGTTTCTTCTGCATTATTTACAATTTCTTTTTTACCTTTTTCATTTCCATTCTCCTTTAGGAAGAAATAATCATTTTACAAAAGAGAAAAAAACATTATTTACAAATATCTTACATTTATTTTAAAAGTTTTATCCTCTCCATCATCAGAGTCATCAGCTGGTAGAAATTCACTGATATAGATAACTTCTTCCATTTTTAATGACCAATCTATTTCACCAATTTCTTCTATATTAGTAGCATTTTCAATTGTCTCAAATTGAACATTTGGCACATATTTCATTGTTTTAATAAAATCATTTTCATCAGATACTTCATTTTTAGAAATATCAATTGTTTGTGAAGCATTTATCTTGTCTATATTTTCATTTTTACTAATAGCTTGGCTATTATCAATTGCAGGTTTATCCAGTGTACTGTTAATTTCACTATTCCCTATTACAGGTTCAGCCAGTTCACTAGTGGTTTCACAATTCTCTATTGTAGCTTCCTCTGGTTCACTGGCGATTTCACTATTCTCTATTGCAGGTTTAGCCATTTTCATAATTGGATTTTTAAAAATTTTATAAATTAAAATTTCAGTAAAAAATTTTGCATTTTTATAAATTTTTGCTCTAATAACTAAATCTCCAAAATTTTCACCAGTGTCAATTTCACATTCCCATATATCATTAAAGAGGTCAAAATGAAAAATTTCATTGTCATTTACACGACAGGCAATCATTTCATCAGCTTTAAAACCTTCAATCTGTATTAATACTTTTTCATTTGAGTAGAGTTTTCTAAATGGTTGAAGAATTTTATGAGTTTCACTAATTCTCCATTTATCAGTAACAATTGGAAATTGAAATGAATTTGTATTAGATTCAATTGCATAAAAATAAGAATTATAGATCAATTCATAATTTTTTCTGGAATTTAATTCCTTTGCTTCAATTTCAAGTTTATACATTCCTGGTAATGGAAAATTGATGTAGAATGTAACATCTTCATAACTATTTACAAAGAATGAATACATAGATAAATCATGTCCTTCATTGTTTTCATCATACCATTTTAATTCAATTTTAAATTGACATGATATCTTTTTAAATATCTTAAAATGTATATTTTTAGAACATTCTTGATAAGATTGGAAATTATCTTCCATCCTTAATTTTAACCTAAAGAAATGTGTTTGTTTGCCAATAGTTCTACTTCCATTATCTGGAAATATTAAAGTATAATTTGCTTTTTCCTCACTTTTAACAATATATGAAGTAATTGTAGGCAAACTTTTTTCTGATAATTTTTCAAAAAATTTAAAACATAAACAATTACAATGATATTCAATTTTTCGATTTTGTCCACAAATATTTATACCGTATTCTCCTTCAGATGGAAAAAAGAATTTTATAAGTCCTAGACCATTTTCAAATGTCGAGATGCAATATTGTTGCAGAAAACAAGAAGAATACTTAATACTTGTAATTTCTACAGAAAACTCATATTCATTATCATCTCCATTAAAATGAATCTCTGTATAATTTTTATTTGATGAAGTATACATTCCAAGTACAGGGAACATATTTGTAAAATTGCATTTTCTAGCTCTATAATTTGGTCCAAGTTCAGATAGATTTGTGTTTGGAAATGGAGGAATATATATATTATCTCTTTTTGTGTATTTAATAATGTAGTCAGTACACCATTTATAGTCAGGTTCTTTAAGTTTAATATCATCTTTGGACACCCAAAGTCTTAGCTTATATTTAGCTGTTTGAGGTAATCTCAGCCTAATGATTAGAAGGTTTTTTGATTTGTTTTGAAATATGGTTATATATAAACTTGGATCTATAGTTTCTTTTTTTATATCTTGTACTAGACCAGTATCTAAAACAGTCTCATCACTAATAAAAATAGTATAAGCAAATATTACAGGGAATTCTTTGTCTGTTCCAATAAGAATTTCATTCCTGGATTGTTCAGCAAAAACAGTACACTTGGGATGAGAAATAATTCCAAGCTTATGCTCAAAAAATGCAGGTCTTAAATATGCCATTTCCTCAAATTCTTGTAAAGTTACTGTTCTAGCTAAAAGCTGATGTTTACTCAAAACTGGAATATGCTTGTAAATGAATTCCTCTGGATTGGGCAAAAAATATCCATTATCATATTGATATTTTTTTTGACTTGTAAGATTTTTCTTTTTGAAGAAAAACTGGAGTAATGAATATTTTTTTTCCCCTTGAAAAATTTTGTGACTTCCAAAATTAGCATCACAAAGATACCAGAAACCATTTATTCTAATAATATTCCAAAAATTCTTATCATTTAAATTTATTTTCTCTCCAATTTCATAATTTGCATGTTTAGCCCAACCAGAGACTTCTTCACAGTAAATATTTACAAAACTATTTGAAAACAAAAATCATTTGAGTACATTTAAAAAGTTATTTTATAAGTTTTCTTTTTATGCATACCTGCAAAGAATTTTTAACACTTTACCGTAGGATATATTGTTTTGTTTTAACCTATATAGAGTATATCTCATTTGATTGTCCATCAACTTATCATAATTTATTTTATCTAGATTGATTGAAGCTAACCAACGGAATAAAGCTCGAGCTCTTAACATTTCATCATTGAAATCCTTAATTAAAAAAATTGCAACTTGTTGTGGTGTTTTGTTTAAAAATGATTTGTTCATTTTTTTCATGACAAATTTATCAACATGGCGAAAATCATAATTTTCTTCTATCCATTCTTTGGAAATTGGATTAGGAAAAATAATGTGAGGAGGTATTGCAATTTGTCTGTATTTAACCAATTCATACCATTCTGTATTTGCTATACGTAGAGTAACATTAGTTGGAAAACCCATACTCATAAACTCTCCTTTAAGAGCATTATGAACATCAGTGAGTTGTTTTTCAATATCTTTTTTTTTTAAATAACAAGATTAAAGTTAATTTGAATTTAAAAATTTAAATATAACCTGGATTATATATTGCAGGAATGATAACATTTTGTTTTGAGAAACAAATTCCCATATTTCCAATTTAAATACTGATGAACAGTGTCTTGTAGGGAGAGAGACAAAAAAATAACTTTTAGGTGTAACTGTAACTTTAACCAAGTATTCTATTTCTGTTTTGAGGGATTACAGTATGTTTAATAATTTTCTTTTTCACACAATATTGTAAATTAAACCTAAATGTAAATATGCAGACCAGGACATGCTACAACTTGGTCTCACCTATTTTTAAAACCTTCTTAACAACTGTAAACATTATTAATAACACAAGTTGGATTTTTTACTGCCAAGTTCTACTTTCCCTTTCTATTTCACCAATAGCTGCACAAGGGAAACAGACAAAGGATTTAATTAGCAAAAATTGAATGTGAAGTTAGGGTTGAGCCTGTTTGTTAAAACTAAATGAAATTGAGATGAAGAAATACAAAGGTTAAAGTGTGGCCCAGTTAGAACAGCCAGGTGTATCCGAACAAAACTCTAGTTGTTAGAGTTAAAAATTTTGGGGATGAGAGAAAACTAAACTAAAGTTTAGGGTAAATTTTTGGTCATTTCTAGGGTTGAAAAATATTTTTTACAATTGCAAAAATTTTATTCTCATCCTTATTTAGTTCAGGGTTAGGATTTAGGTATGCGTTGCACTAAACAAATCTAGGACAATAATGCTTATCTTTATCAGTGCATTGATATGAACCATATTGGTTCAATACTACTTATCTATTGTAGAATAACCCTAAGCATAACAAGCTTAATTTCTATTTCAGTCTTCTTTTTTGTTTTTTGTCAACTGTTACATTCAATAAAGTAGGGTTGATTGCAATATTTCTCTATCAGTGTTTCATTGACTAGCAGAAATTAATTCATTGCTGCCAAATTGGCCATCAACTACTGTACTTTGTTGTATTGTAATTGGAGGAATTTCTGGTTTGTCACAACTGTAATTGTCCTTTCCAATCATTTACCACCTTGCCAAAGTACTCAAACAAATAGAACCTTTAAAGTTCGTCCACAAATAGTCTAACAAAGGCAATTTTGGTAGAAATTAATTAACAAAACACCAGTATTTCGTGCAAAGAATATGTATTGAGTAAAATGAGCTTCTAGTTCTAAACAAGCTAGTTTAAACAACTAGCTGATGGTTAGAAAACTGAACTATCAACTGTTAATTTCGTAGGGTTTATATACTCTTTTAAGGGTTGATAGTTCACAAATTTCAATGTTCACAAAAACAAAAGTAACATTTGAAGACAAAGAAAAGTTGTAAATATGGTCACGTTTTTATTGTTTTCCTCTTCTAAATAATAGTTGAATTTCTCAGGTTGGAGAGTTGCATAAGATGTAACAATTTTAGTAGGACAAGTCCAACAATCAAGAAAACATGTAGATTGTATATTTGACCGTTTTTATATTCTACCTTAATAATGATATTGAATTGATTGAGTTAGTAAATTTAGCATGAGCATATGCAGAGGAAGTATATCTGATTAATGCATGTTAAAAAGAACAGTATTGTGTATACAATACTGTTGAATAGTGAATATAATCTAAACTTAGAATTTAAGCATAATTGATAATTAATTGAACTAGTTTTAGTTCGAAATCATAAATTTATGGATTAATAAATTGTAATATTAATGCTAGGTTGCAAATAGCAAATATTCTTTATATAATTCAATAGGTTTTATTGCTGCATAATGTGTATGCACTGCCCTATGCGAAACTAGGTCACTACTGCTTATCTTTATCAGTGCTATCTGCATAGTACAATACTGGTTCAATACTACTTCTCTATTGTAGAATATAGCTGACGAATGTATGTGTACAAATTTATAAAATATATCTTCAAACTGGATTCTCTAAAAGACTAAAATTACAAAATGATTTTTTTGATAATAATTAGACTTGAATGATAAATAATTAAGTTGAAATTGAAATCTGTAGCATGTTCAAATAATGATCATAGTAATAATTTATTATCAATCAATCACAATACAATGAAAAAATAATTTCTTATTTAAATATTCATTGGAATATTTAAATTGATTTTTTCAATCCTTGTATGTGATTGATTGATAATAAATTATTACTATGATCATTATGAACATGCTACAGATTCAATTTCAACTTAATTATTTATCATTCAAGTCTAATTTATTATCAAAAAAATCTATTTTTGGTAATTTTAAGTCTTCTAGAGAATCCAGTTTGAAGATATATTTTATAAATTTGTACACATACATTCATCAGCTATATTCTACAATAGAGAAGTAGTATTGAACCAGTATTGTACTATGCAGATAGCACTGATAAAGATAAGCAGTAGTGACCTAGTTTCGCATAGGGCAGTGCATACACATTATGCAGCAATAAAACCTATTGAATTATATAAAGAATATTTGCTATTTGCAACCTAGCATTAATATTACAATTTATTAATCCATACATTTATGATTTCGAACTAAAACTAGTTCAATTAATTATCAATTATGCTTAAATTCTAAGTTTAGATTATATTCACTATTCAACAGTATTGTATACACAATACTGTTCTTTTTAACATGCATTAATCAGATATACTACCTCCTTATATGCTGATGCTAAATTTACTAACTCAATCAATTGAATATCATTATTAAGGTAGAATATAAAAACGGTCAAATATACAATCTACATGTTTTCTTGATTGTTCGACTTGTCCTACTAAAATTGTTACATCTTATGCAACTCTCCAACCTGAGAAATTCAACTATTATTTAGAAGAGGAAAACAATAAAAACATGACCGTATTTAGAACTTTTCTTTGTCTTCAAATGTTACTTTTGTTTTTGTGAACATTGAAATTTGTGAACTATCAACCCTTAAAAGAGTATATAAACCCTACGAAATTAACTGTTGATAGTTCAGTTTTCTAACCGTCAGCTAGTTGTTTAAACTAGCTTGTTTAGAACTAGAAGCTCATTTTACTCAATACATATTCTTTGCACGAAATACTGGTGTTTTGTTAATTAATTTCTACCAAAATTGCCTTTGTTAGACTATTTGTGGACGAACTTTAAAGGTTCTATTTGTTTGAGTACTTTGGCAAGGTGGTAAATGATTGGAAAGGACAATTACAGTTGTGACAAACCAGAAATTCCTCCAATTACAATACAACAAAGTACAGTAGTTGATGGCCAATTTGGCAGCAATGAATTAATTTCTGCTAGTCAATGAAACACTGATAGAGAAATATTGCAATCAACCCTACTTTATTGAATGTAACAGTTGACAAAAAACAAAAAAGAAGACTGAAATAGAAATTAAGCTTGTTATGCTTAGGGTTATTCTACAATAGATAAGTAGTATTGAACCAATATGGTTCATATCAATGCACTGATAAAGATAAGCATTATTGTCCTAGATTTGTTTAGTGCAACGCATACCTAAATCCTAACCCTGAACTAAATAAGGATGAGAATAAAATTTTTGCAATTGTAAAAAATATTTTTCAACCCTAGAAATGACCAAAAATTTACCCTAAACTTTAGTTTAGTTTTCTCTCATCCCCAAAATTTTTAACTCTAACAACTAGAGTTTTGTTCGGATACACCTGGCTGTTCTAACTGGGCCACACTTTAACCTTTGTATTTCTTCATCTCAATTTCATTTAGTTTTAACAAACAGGCTCAACCCTAACTTCACATTCAATTTTTGCTAATTAAATCCTTTGTCTGTTTCCCTTGTGCAGCTATTGGTGAAATAGAAAGGGAAAGTAGAACTTGGCAGTAAAAAATCCAACTTGTGTTATTAATAATGTTTACAGTTGTTAAGAAGGTTTTAAAAATAGGTGAGACCAAGTTGTAGGCATGTCCTGGTCTGCATATTTACATTTAGGTTTAATTTACAATATTGTGTGAAAAAGAAAATTATTAAACATACTGTAATCCCTCAAAACAGAAATAGAATACTTGGTTAAAGTTACAGTTACACCTAAAAGTTATTTTTTTGTCTCTCTCCCTACAAGACACTGTTCATCAGTATTTAAATTGGAAATATGGGAATTTGTTTCTCAAAACAAAATGTTATCATTCCTGCAATATATAATCCAGGTTATATTTAAATTTTTAAATTCAAATTAACTTTAATCTTGTTATTTAAAAAAAAAAGATATTGAAAAACAACTCACTGATGTTCATAATGCTCTTAAAGGAGAGTTTATGAGTATGGGTTTTCCAACTAATGTTACTCTACGTATAGCAAATACAGAATGGTATGAATTGGTTAAATACAGACAAATTGCAAACCTCCTCACATTATTTTTCCTAATCCAATTTCCAAAGAATGGATAGAAGAAAATTATGATTTTCGCCATGTTGATAAATTTGTCATGAAAAAAATGAACAAATCATTTTTAAACAAAACACCACAACAAGTTGCAATTTTTTTAATTAAGGATTTCAATGATGAAATGTTAAGAGCTCGAGCTTTATTCCGTTGGTTAGCTTCAATCAATCTAGATAAAATAAATTATGATAAGTTTGGAGCAATCAAAATGAGATATACTCTATATAGGTTAAAACAAAACAATATATCCTACGGTAAAGTGTTAAAAATTCTTTGCAGGTATGCATAAAAAGAAAACCTTATAAAATAACTTTTTAAATGTACTCAAATGATTTTTGTTTTCAAATAGTTTTGTAAATATTTACTGTGAAGAAGTCTCTGGTTGGGCTAAACATGCAAATTATGAAATTGGAGAGAAAATAAATTTAAATGATAAGAATTTTTGGAATATTATTAGAATAAATGGTTTCTGGTATCTTTGTGATGCTAATTTTGGAAGTCACAAAATTTTTCAAGGGGAAAAAAAATATTCATTACTCCAGTTTTTTCTTCAAAAGAAAAATCTTACAAGTCAAAAAAAATATCAATATGATATGGATATTTTTTGCCCAATCCAGAGGAATTCATTTACAAGCATATTCAGTTTTGAGTAAACATCAGCTTTTAGCTAGAACAGTAACTTTACAAGAATTTGAGGAAATGGCATATTTAAGACCTGCATTTTTTGAGCATAAGCTTGGAATTATTTCTCATCCCAAGTGTACTGTTTTTGCTGAACAATCCAGGAATGAAATTCTTATTGGAACAGACAAAGAATTCCCTGTAATATTTGCTTATACTATTTTTATTAGTGATGAGACTGTTTTAGATACTGGTCTAGTACAAGATATAAAAAAAGAAACTATAGATCCAAGTTTATATATAACCATATTTCAAACAAATCAAAAACCTTCTAATCATTAGGCTGAGATTACCTCAACAGCTAAATATAAGCTAAGACTTTGGGTGTCCAAAGATGATATTAAACTTAAAGAACCTGACTATAAATGGTGTACTGACTACATTATTAAATACACAAAAAGAGATAATATATATATTCCTCCATTTCCAAACACAAATCTATCTGAACTTGGACCAAATTAATAGAGCTAGAAAATGCAATTTTACAAATATGTTCCCTGTACTTGGAATGTATACTTCATCAAAAATAAAATTATACAGAGATTCATTTTAATGGAGATGATAATGAATATGAGTTTTCTGTAGAAATTACAAGTATTAAGTATTCTTCTTGTTTTCTGCAACAATATTGCATCTCGACATTTGAAAATGGTCTAGGACTTATAAAATTCTTTTTTCCATCTGAAGGAGAATACGGTATAAATATTTGTGGACAAAATCGAAAAAATTGAATTCATTGTAATTGTTTATGTTTTAAATTTTTTGAAAAATTATCAGAAAAAAGTTTGCCTACAATTACTTCATATATTGTTAAAAGTGAGGAAAAAGCAAATTATACTTTAATATTTCCAGATAATGGAAGTAGAACTATTGGCAAACAAACACATTTCTTTAGGTTAAAATTAAGGATGGAAGATAATTTCCAATCTTATCAAGAATGTTCTAAAAATATACATTTTAAGATATTTAAAAAGATATCATGTCAATTTAAAATTGAATTAAAATGGTATGATGAAAACAATGAAGGACATGATTTATCTATGTATTCATTCTTTGTAAATAGTTATGAAGATGTTACATTCTACATCAATTTTCCATTACCAGGAATGTATAAACTTGAAATTGAAGCAAAGGAATTAAATTCCAGAAAAAATTATGAATTGATCTATAATTCTTATTTTTATGCAATTGAATCTAATACAAATTCATTTCAATTTCCAATTGTTACTGATAAATGGAGAATTAGTGAAACTCATAAAATTCTTCAACCATTTAGAAAACTCTACTCAAATGAAAAAGTATTAATACAGATTGAAGGTTTTAAAGCTGATGAAATGATTGCCTGTCGTGTAAATGACAATGAAATTTTTCATTTTGACCTCTTTAATGATATATGGGAATGTGAAATTGACACTGGTGAAAATTTTGGAGATTTAGTTATTAGAGCAAAAATTTATAAAAAGCAAAATTTTTTACTGAAATTTTAATTTATAAAATTTTTAAAAATCCAATTATGAAAATGGCTAAACCTGCAATAGAGAATAGTGAAATCGCCAGTGAACAGAGGAAGCTACAATAGAGAATTGTGAAACCACTAGTGAACTGGCTGAACCTGTAATAGGGAATAGTGAAATTAACAGTACACTGGATAAACCTGCAATTGATAATAGCCAAGCTATTAGTAAAAATGAAAAATTAGAACATAAATGCTTCACAAACAATTGATATTTCTAAAATGAAGTATCTGATGAAAATGATTTTATTAAAACAATGAAATATGTGCCAAATGTTCAATTTGAGACAATTGAAAATGCTACTAATATAGAAGAAATTGGTGAAATAGATTGGTCATTAAAAATGGAAGAAGTTATCTATATCAGTGAATTTCTACCAGCTGATGACTCTGATGATGGAGAGGATAAAACTTTTAAATAAATGTAAGATATTTGTAAATAATGTTTTTTTCTCTTTTGTAAAATGATTATTTCTTCCTAAAGGAGAATGGAAATGAAAAGGTAAAAAAGAAATTGTAAATAATGCAGAAGAAACCACAGGAAAGCCAGGTAATAGAAATGATGAAAAGGAAGAGAAATCACAGCAACAACAACAATGATCAGGAAGATGTAGCAAAGAAGGCATCAGGTAATTAAAATTTCACATCTAGATACTGAAATTATTAAAATATCATTAAAAAATTGTAGATTTGAAAAAGGCATATGAAGAAAAAGATTATAAAAAGTTAAAAGTAGCTATAGACAAAGCTTCTGTTAAACCAATAAATCCTTTATTAATTAAAGATTTATCAAAAGCTAATGAATTAAAAGCAAATTTAGAAAAAATTTGTGGTTTGCAAAACAGGATTTTAAAACTTGATGCAAATGTATTGCAGAATTAAATCAGTATAATCAACCACCTGCTGTTGTACATCTGGTTATAAAATCAACATTATTGATTTTATCAATTGATGAAGGACAAACTGATGAATGGAAAGAATGTCAAGTTTTTATTAAATATGCATGCTCTTATTCTATTTTAAAGAAAATTAAAGCTCTTAAAATCTTAACTGTAGATCCAGCAATCATTCTCAGAGCTGAACAAATAATTTGTGAATTAAATCTGCAAGAAGTCAAGGAGGCAAGTGCAGGTGCAGCAGCATTCTATTTATGGTGTAAAGGTAACATTGACATCTATAAAAAGATTAACAAAGAAGAAATAGGAAAATCACAGCCAGCAACCAGAAAAATACAAAAAAATACTTTCTATCATCTTTTCATCATTAAGCTGTTAAGAAGACACTGAGCATGATTGCTTTCTTCATGATAGAAACAATAACATCTCTTGAAAAATAAAAGGAGAAGAAATATACAGCAGATGAACTCCTCAACAATAAGATATTACTTTAATTATGGTTTTATTTGGAATTTTAAATTTTAAATCACTATTCATAGTGTTGTATACACAATACTATTAATATGGATTATTTAGACATGCTTCCTAGTTTTTTACACAAAGTAGAATACAAAAGGTCAAATATATAATCCACTTGTTTTCTTGATTGTTGGACTTGCTGTAAGAAAATTGTTACATCTTATGGAACTGTCCAACCTGTGAAATTCAATTATTATTTAGAAGAGGAAAACAATAAACAGACTATATTTACAACTTTTCTTTGTCTTCCAATGTTACTTTTATTTATGTGAACATTGAAATTTGTGAACTATTAACCCTTTAAAGAATATATAAACCTTAATTTTGTTGGGTTTATATACCCTTTTTAAAGGTTGATAGTTCACAATTTATAAATCTAAATATGATAAACATTTTTTTTATCTAATAGAATTCAATTCATGTACATCTGTTTTGATAAGCACATATTCTGGAATAAATACCCTAAATGATGGATATTT